TTTTTTTTTTTTTTTTTTTTTTTTTTTTTTTTTTTGTTTTGTTTTTTTCGACGAAATATCAGGCTGGATTTTTTTTTTAAATTTGCCCACGTGTTTTTTTTTTTTAGAAAGTTTCATGTTTAAAAAAAGTTTAAAGAAATATCGAGAGAAGAGTATTCTGTTTTATAAGGAATCAGAAGTTGCGTTGATCCTTCTGATTGAGAAGCAATTTGAGATAAATCGACAAGGATTTGATTTTCAGCATATTGACAACTTTATTAAACGAAATCTCTTTGTAACAGTCCGAGCAAAACACTAAAATTCTCGTGAATATTCTTTCGCATGAATATTGTTCTTGAAGTGATTCATTAACATTCCCGAATATTTCAACTTTTATTCTAACTTTTACTTTCTGAAACGAGATTCCACTTCAGATACGATTAATGCCAACTATGACAAAATAAGATTCGTTGAATTAATAACAAACTCCACAAGTAGTACAAGCAAAGCGAAGGGGTAAAGGTCAAGTAGCACTAAACCGTATACGGTCAGACACTTCGATACTTTATAGCTGCCCACAGCTGTAAATTCTTACGAAATCCATAAAATTACATTCCTTCTTGTCGTACTACAAAAGAAATCATACACGCGGGGTAAGAAATAAAAGATATTACGTCGTTGTAAATGTTAACATTTCCAGAAACCCATGTTAAGCGATATAAACAGAACAACGTTCGCATAAATCCTGTCCCAAGCATGTTTGCGACGAAAAAAAAAGAAAAAAAAAAAGCAGAAATCCCGGACACGATACTGCACTATGAAAAAGTCAAGCATCCGTTGTACGACCATTCTTCATGGCGTCTGGACGTTTCGTTGGCCACGTTCGAGCCAATCGATCTTTACGATAGCAAATCAACGTCCAACGCGTATCGAATAGCAATTTTATCGGCGTGAACGCCAGGAAGCCTTCGAAACTATTAACAACTCGTGAATCGTTATTTTCGTGAGATTTACGGTGGAAAAACCTCGAGATGTCCAGTTTACTCTGATAAACTACCGCTAAGGTGTCGACAAAACCGTGAAATTTAATTTTCACGAAATCCTTCTTCTCCTTCGTCTTTCTGTCTCCGTCGTTCGTTTCTTAATTTTGATAAAATTCGTGTCCAAACGAAAAACTACAAAATTTAGAAGTTGAGATTGTACAAATCTGGAATGTCTCATTCTATTTTTGCGGTATAAACGAATTTGAGATCTGTTTTTTTTTTTTTTTTGTGAGCGTTTAATCGAAAAATTGCGCGATCTCGTTTTTTAAGGTACTGCAGTTTTCTTTAAACAGCAAGAGAAAGAATTTAAGTGATACCGGACTGTACGTGGGCAGACGGTTCGATATTTCACAACTTTGCACGTAAATCCTTAGGAAATTGATACACTTAAATCCTCCGCGTTATTTCGCGGTGATGTAAAGGGAATCTCACGCGAAAAGTAAATTCCACGTAAAATAACGAAAGTAAAATACATTCGACGATATACACAACATAAAACGTACGTATACTTTTATTCAGTATTCATGTTTTCAACAGTGTTCTGTAAATTGTGAATGTTTATGCATTTATGAAAAATTCAGGAATATACAGAGTGCATGCATCGTGCAAGAACGTACGAAAAATATAAAAGTGAAGTACTATTTTACATTTAAAAAAACACAGTCTCTATTTAGCACTCTTTTAGTTCTTCAATGATATACGCAACAGTTCAAATTCACGTGAATACGTGTACGTGTAATAATCATTGATTATTCGAAATGATTTCGGGTTTCATTTCGGGATAAGTATCCGCACTCTTCAACTGTTTTTGACCCAATTTTTGACCTTAATTTGGACAAGATTGATCTAAATTCTTCAAGTCTCATCTCCGAGATAAATCGGCTCGGGGAGGTGGCAGAGAGAATTCGAATTGAAATCGCGTTAGCGGTGGATTTTTCTTTCGATTATGCCTCTGGCCGGCCCTAAATTATTCCACGCTTCGGCCATAAAGTCTGGATGGTCGGTAATGGAAGCAGAAGGCACACGGACCCAATCGATACCGGTCGAACGAGATCGAAAACATTTGCCGAATTCACAATTCACGAACGCCCGTACTAATGTATTCGCTCTGGACTCGCTAGAACGACATTTGTCCATAACGATATATTTACCGAAAGTCCAATATTGCACGTATGTACAAACTGCAGCTTCTCACAAAAATATTCGACCATTTATATCAAACGTTCTACGTAAAATAAATTAAAAATTTCACTAACATCATAATGAAACTTGGCTATTATATTGGACAGTTTGGAAACAAATCTAGTCACTGTATTGATAATATTTAACACTTATATACTCGTGTTTTACTAAATGTCTGCAATAAACACGTCTTGTAACTTCTATATACATTATGAAGATGATTTACAATATAATCATAACAATCTCATTACAGTTCCAATAAAATTTAAAAATGTTTTGTATAACATGCATAATATAGTAACGTAGGTATATAGTAACGTTCTTCTATTTTTAAGTGTTAGAATATTTTCGTGAGCCACTATCTATATAGAAAATTATTCGTAGACCGACAAAATACACCCTTATGTCTTTTATATTCCGTGCTGTATTTCATCAGTATACCATTACAAAAATCATTCTTTATGGTCTGTTTACACGCACGACTTTCCAACATAGTTAGTGTAATTTGGAGGTTGAAATCGAGACCCTCGCCTCAAGTAATATTCAATAAAGTATACGTCCTGTACGTCATAATTTTCCTCAGTGTAACAGAGGAACCAGAATCACGTCCCGGCTGCATATATCTTCATCAATGTCCCAGATCAATATTCAGGTCGAATAATTATCAGGGACTCCGGTTTGATAGCACCGGTGCCAAAATTTCGAACTCCGCGTGAATGTTTAATTCATGAAAGAAGATGTTTGGAACGCGTACAAACAAAGAAGAATTGCAGAACACCTCCCCGCGTCCATAAAGGACGACGCTAAACGCTCGATATTAAAACTCTCGGCGAAAACATGGTCTCTTTATCAACGATTTGTTGATAAAGAGACCGAGGTAAGAGGTGACGAGGTGACGAGCGCCTCATTTAGTGAAAATTGAAAAGCTTTGAAGAGACACGTATAATGTTAACGCGAAGCTCCTCTGGGAGAAACAGAAGGAATACTTTATGCGAGAATGTTAAGTAACAATTCAGAAGGTCCACTCTTTCATCGCGACCGGCTCTTCCACATCGCTCTGTAGCGATTCTCAGTCAAAAATTCTCTTTTCGACACGTTGGGAATTATTCACAACCACCTACGTTTCCAGCTGTGTCTTAAAAACTTACATATTCTTTTTATAATCTCCGAAATGTTCGAACAAAACAGGAAGCAGCTCTGTCGAGATTTCGAAATCGTTCGAGGGAAAAGCCACTTCCGTCGATGTTGCAGATTTCGAATCGACTCGCGACTCCCTCGATTCGAAGGTTTATACTCTTGCTTTTACGAGTCATCCGGATTTTACTACTATCGCGTCAATTGGCGATGAAAGACACCATTGGAAGAAAAAAATCCCGAACACGAAGACTCCTATTTTTTGAATCGAGCGTGCGATTTGAAATGAAATTTTTAATTTAGAATTCAGATGCAGAATAATGGAATTTATTTCACTTTTGAAACACGATATACTAAACACTCACTTTAAAAAAAAAAAACTTTTTTGAAAAAAAGTACCACTGCTCAATAACAGTCTACCCAAAAAAAAAAGATTTCTTCGACAAAGAATCTGCAGAACCATTTCCCAGTAACGAACGCCTAAATTGAAAATAACATGTGTACTCTGGAAATAACTAAATAAGCCAATGCATATAGCCAACATATGTCAAACGGTACGCTGTTGTCCTAAATTCTCTCCATGACCCAGCCAGATCCGACAACTTGCAACCCGAATGGAATCAAGGATAAAGGACAAACTCGAGAGACAACTATGACGATAGTAAGTCATAGTGATTCCTCTGAGCGAGGATATCTGGTGTGACTAGACGCGTGCATACCGGATATACCGCAAGGCTAGTCTAAAGAGATAATATTGCCTGCTGCTAGCGAAATATTGGCGGCATGCCAAATGGAAATAGATAAAAAGCCCGAAGGGTGGCAGAATCATCCCCCCAGCCCTCCTTTCACCTATCATCCTTTACCAAACGGACAGATATACGTTCATATACATACACACAAGGATGTGGAATACGCCACACACCATGTGTAACCGCACATAACGATCAAATGTGCGATGGAATGCGCCACGGCCCTTTTCCAATGCCAAATTCTATCCGTATACCGTGAAACCGTGTGTACCGATCGTTGAGCTCGATGTTTGCCTTTATGAGACAGCTATCGATTCGGAGTCTTCTCGTATTAATTTGAACACCACTTCGTATGGTTCAATAACGAGCACATACACATTATCGCGCCAGAATTATTATTATTAACGGCGTCGTTATTTTTACGCGCAGTTCGTAAATATCTCTGCGGAAAGTTCGCCACATAATTTTCAAACGGACGATGCGTAAGGTCGTAAATTTGAACTTTCGCGGCATTGCGCGTAAATTACAGCATAGACTATGATACTATGGCTTTAAATTCTCTCCCGTCTCGGCCGAAAGGTTCGCGTTATTTCATTCAGATACGCGATAAACGAATTAATTAACGCAATCGCGATATCGCAATACGTGATTTCGCGTATTTTATTTTGAATATAAGAGTAATCGGAGATTTTTAAATGTAGGTAATTCTCTTACCTTTTTACTGAATTCGTCCTGAAGAATCTGCTTCTCCTTATCCAATTCAAGGCATACCAGGGTGTCCAATCTTTCCTCAGTCATTACGTCACCCGATGATTTTAACGCTGCCTTGAGTTTGCGTTTGTTGACAGTCTGTAACGCAACAAAACATAAATTTAAACTTATCAAACATTGTATCCGAGTACTTGAGCACTTTATATTATATTTTATAGTAATATTTACCCTCAATTTTTCCAATTCCTTTTGTAAGCTGTTCACTTTATTGTACATGTGTAAGACGAATAAGTCAAAGGTATCTTCATCGATGGCCAATTTTTTTTCATGAATATTGATATCGGGAAATAATATTTGAAGTTCTTCGTTAAGATTTTCACGGGCAGTTTTCACCTGTTTCCAATAATGTTCGGTGATATTGCCAGTTTTTATTTCTGACTTATGCTTTTGCTTCGCGTCGTATACATCATCCAAGATTTTCTTGATGTTTCTTCGAGCAGCTGTTTTCACGTGCGACGGCGCCTTCAATTTAGGATCATCGATTAAATTAAACATCTTCTTAAGTGAATCAAGTGCTTGATTAGCGTGGTCTTCTGCTTCTTGAACGGCCTCCTTCCTCTTTTCTGTTGCATCTTTCAGTCTAAAATTAATAAACAAAATTTTTTAAACTGAAGGAAAATAAAGAAAAAAAAAAAGAAATTGCAAAGTATAGTAAAAATATGTAATAAAAAAAATACCTGTTCCAGACAGAGCTACCAACAGTGGCATTAACACTCTCCACGACTTGTATCACCTCTCGATTATAATCTTGAATAGCAGACGCTGCTTTTTGATAAGCTGCGATAGCTTTGGACGCAGTTTCGCCGGCAGATGCTTCTAGCTCAACCAGGTTTTCTGGCATCAATTCATCAGGTACAACCTTGGCAGGTGGCTGAGGTTTTTCGGCCACTGAAAATATAGCATATACGTTCATCTGCTATTAAATACAAAAAAAGAAGATTGATTACATAGAATTGAACATTTAAACACCTACCGATTTCAATTTCTTCTCCTTTTTCTTTACTTAATCTTATTTCTGTATAAGGATCATTAATAGGTGGTTCCTTCTTATCAACGAGTGGTACAAAAGCTGGCTTTGGTGCTACACGTTATTGTTAATGTTAGTAATGATTACACAAAATGATTACTATTCTAAATAAAACAATTTTTTAATATTGCATACATGTTTACATGTTTAACAATTAAAAAACCAAAATAAGGGAGAAAATAAGGTTAAGTATTCGAAATAAGGCTTACGTGTATATTCTTCTAATTTTGTCTGAGTTTTTTTTTCTGTATCTACAGATCCACTTAGCCTGAAACAAAGATGAATATTAAATTATTCATATGAAATAATTTACCTGGTAATGAAAATTTACATAGTAGTGAACTGTTATTTACGTTTTCTTGAATGACTCATAGAATGAACCTATGAATTCCAAAAAGGATGATTTCTCCTGAAAGATGTCCTGAATTGTCTTGCCTATGCTAGGTTGCCAATCTTCAAGAGATGGACTGAATTCTGAACGCTTTATATAAAACCACACACCCGAGGCTCCTATTGCCACAGCAGTCAGAGTTAACAGTGCCTTGTTCACACCTTTCTCACTTTGAAAATAAAAATTTTAAATCACACTGAATTCATTAAATAAACAAGAAAATTTATTAATTAAACTATGTTGTATTCTGTAACATTTTATTTTTATTTATTAAAGATACATTTCATATTCAACATAAAAATCCCTTCAATAGAAGAAAGTATCAAAATATAATGGATTATTATTCAATCATGATGATATGCAACTTTGTTATATAACGCAATGTAATAATGTTCTCATAAAATTTTTAAATACCTTTTTGGTGAATCCACTGACTTTTTACACATAAGCCTGGCATTCTTGAAAAACCTAAAACACAAAAGACAATCTTTTTCTCAATAATTTCTTTAATATTTACAAAAAATTCTCTAAATTACACAACCAAATGTACGTAGGTTATCTTAGTATCGGTATTGATATACACATTATTATCATTCAAAACAATAATCATGTAATAAATTTATATTAAATATTAAATAAAAACTAACGAAAAACATCCAAATGCCACAAGCAATACAAATGTATTGGACAGAATTATTTGTGTCAAACAAAACCTAACCTAGATCTAAATCGAAATAAAACTCAAAATATAAGCAGAATTTCCATTTGATAAAATATATATATGTAAGGTCCAAATAGAAACAACAATTTAAAAGCTTTTCTTACTTAGTAATAATTCAAACGATGACAAGTTTGACAATCATGGAAATGTCTTTGTAAAACACTCAGAACAATTGGTTTTTTTACCTATATTCCTGGTCATATTTAATTCGTGCACGTGTCTCAAAACACCTGGTTGTCCAATACAATCTGGAAGATCCATGCTTTTTGACCTGAAAGATCAACAATCATCAGTGAAATCGTCTGGAATTATGTAAGTTCCTAAATTTAAGCCATCTTGTCACACGAGGCGGATAACCTTGGTCTTGTTCGCAGGAATATTCACTGACAACTTGCGAAAACACCCTTGTCGCGACACGAACACGATTTCTCACACAGATCACGAGTTATATCTTGTCAGAATAGCAACAAATAATTGCGAATTATTAAAATATTGCTGCAGAGGAGGGTCGCAACAGTAACAGTCTATCAGCAGTGGACGAAGAGTTTTCTCCATAATTTCTTCGTACTTTTTCTCAAATCCACGTAACGCAAAACCACTAGATTCGCACGGCTATAATCTCTTACTTTTTACTTACTTTACGTACCCTATTTAGACCGTTGCACGGAAATTTTAATCCAATTCGGAACATCTTTCGGGTGGCCGGTCAGGCAGCCAAGGGAAAAAGGGAACGACGGAACCAGAGGAAAAGAAGAATGCTGCGTATTGTTAGTACCGCTGTACGAAGTACGTATATAGAAATTCCCTTATAGATTCACTAACACTACACTTATTTACATCGAACGATAGTTCGGTGGCTTCATTTTGAGCTATAATTCTTTTGAATTCAATAGACTGTTACGTGAGAATCATTGCGAGCTCATACATTCTAGGTTATGTTCGGTTAGATCGATCAACCATTCTGATTCTCTGACCGAAGGAATGTCGTGGAATTGTGAATGCGCGCGCTTATTAAACTTGTATACCAACTTGACGAGACGATTAATATTTTGTTTTACAATTTAAATTAATTTTATCATGCGTTGATTATTGTTTATGTAATTAATTTATTTTATATTTCAGGCATTGCTTCGCACGCCAATGTTGTTAATTTAACAAGTTCTCTAATCTTTAAACAATATCCTATTACACAATGTATTCAGCAGAGATTTTTTGGAGCATTTTCTTCTACAATTAATCAATGGGGTAATATTGGTAATATTAAAGAGAAGCCAATATTTGGGTAAATGGTGTTCATTATATATACAATATTAAATTAATATAAATGTTGATGTATTAACAATGTAATTAAACTTCACAGACAAACAGAAGGTATTGTACCTTTATCATTAACACCTGTAACGAATTCTGTGAGAACCGTTATAAAATATTCTAAACAAAAAGGCAAAAGAAAGACTGTGAAAACTGTGCTTAAAAGGTTCTACAGATTAAATTGGTAAGACTTTAATATGATGTAATATTTGTTATTTCCATATATGCTACACAATATGTTTATTTAATTGTAGGGGTATATGGATCAGAACTTATGCTGGACGTCATAAGCATTTGTGGAAGAAGCCTGAAGGAAGAAAATATAGATTGAGACAGCATGTTTTCTGTAATGCAACACAGAGTACTATGTTAGACAAAATGGTAACAAGTTATTGGAAAAGGCCGCACTATTATGTAGATGATCCTTATAATCCATATCACAAACGCGAAGAGTTTCCACTCACAAGAACCAAACCAAAATTATACTAATATAATACAACTTGTATAAACTTTATTGAAAAAAATCTGTATATACAAATACAAAATTTATGCTCTATATATTCAATTTCCTTAAAAATATTTAATTGTTTAAAACGTATTTAAATTACCAATTATTCTGTGAATAAACACCAATTTCTTTCTCTTTAATTAGTGTTTAAAAATTTGAAAATATAATCATTCGATCAGGCAGTATTGTATAAATACGAATAACCTTCGTTCATCAAAATTTGAGTACAGAGGTACAATTTAGTTTATGATCAAAACATCAATACAAAGGGTCATTAACGACTGGACTTATTTTGGAATCTTAATAGTCGACCCAGGTATAAAACTATTAGTTTTGAATAATTGATATATTGTAAGATAAATTGTAAGATAAAAATATTCAATAATTAGTAGTTTTTGTTACAGTATAATATCTTACAAAAATTAAATATTTTTAATTTCTAAAAAATTATGTCGTAGCTTTTAGACGTAATTTTATATATTAATTCGTCCGTTTTATATGTTAATTTGTAATCTATACATTGTATATAGTGAATGAAAATCAGGATCAAATTGATCGTCCGCTACTTTCGAAGCCGAATCATTTTTGTCGGGTCACGTGGTATCCCCTACTACTACTGGTCAATGCTAGAGTGGTGCGATGTGTTCAGTGGTAGTTCGTCTTTCGATACGAGTACTTTGTCTTTTTCATTCGTTTGTGATATCCTTGTTCTTTTTCCTATCTCTAGTAGCTATTCACAATATTACGTTCTTATCAGGCTGATAGACGTTTCTATCAACGGAAAAAATGCCTTACCGTTATAAATTGCGACTGATTAGCAGAGCTTGCCTAGCCTTCAGAAACTCACGTACTGAGAAAAGCAACATTCATTTTGCTGCTAGCAGAAATTTCTCTACCAGCGGCACAGTCAACATGAGGTGAGTCAAATTTATGTAACTAAATTTGAATCTGACCTTTTGTTTGATAATAAGCAAGAATAACTTAATTCGATCACATTTTGAATAATGCCCTAAAATGGTGGAATTTCGCGCGGCATTTTTGATTGGCCTACCCTCAGGTTTAACCTTTACACATTTCTTTGTTTATCCTTTTTTCGCTTGGGAGGATTAATTTCTCTGTTCAAAAATGGCTTGCGATGTTAATAGACACGATTACGTATTTGCTTTGAGATATCCTTCAGTATAGTTCAATGGAGTGTTTCATGGACATCAAGTGTGCCAAATATAAATGCGAAAATACAATTAATTCGCCTCAAACGGTTCCGATATTGTTTGAAAGAAAAACGTGTAGTAATAAATATACGTGTAGTAATAGAAAAAAGAAGTAGTAGGAGGAATTTCATGAAATTCAATTTACAAGATTTTCAAGTACATTCTCACGTTCCAATCGGTATTGATTGTTGAATCAATAGCGTCATTTGCTGATTGTGTGAAGTTGATTTATTGAGTAGCACGATTGTTTATTTAATTTAAACACCCGAATATATTCAATTAAATATATAATTATGTTATTAACATCGAATAGCCTGAATTTACATGTTTATGAGGCACTGTTCGCAGTGAACTTAGCTGTAAATATGTATACTGGCCGTGGAGAGATTCATTTCCATAAATGCGATATTATTTTAACATGTTGCATGCTATGTAAGATATCTATGATACACACGTGATCTTTTGTTAAAGTCATATGACATTTTTGCTATAAAAAGAAATACTTTCTGAAGCAATCGTCCATCGATTCGTATATCAAAATTTGCGTTTTACAATGATGATTTTTATAATAATTTTGTAACTATTGTGAAACGCAGTAATCACGTCAAATTGTTATAGCACGAAGTATATTAATATGTTGGAACATGAAATTAGATGCAGTAGTATATACTTAAATTATTTAATTCTTCTAGAATTGTTGTTCAATGTAAATCTAAATAATTAAAATAAAATAATTAAATTAAATAAAATACTATGTATATTGTTGAAAAATATAAATCTTTATAAATATAGTCATATATTGGCCTATCCTCAGGTTTAACCTTTACACATTTCTTTGTTTATCCTTTTTCGCTTGCTGAAATTCCTCCTACTACTTCTTTTTTCTATATATCGAATTAACGGTATTTGTACTACAATTCGAATGATACTAACAAGATTTTTTCACTTGTTTTATAAAGTATATATTCTGTATGATGCAATTATTTTTTGGAACAACTATTTTAATAAATATTTTATTTTAAGTAATTTTTCTTATGGAATTTTTCTTTACTAAGTATTGTAAAACTTTTATTGTAACGCAAGTAGAATCGTTATTATTTTTTATTTTGACCAGTTGAAAATTTCCTAATGCATATTTTAACTTAATAATCTTTTAAAAGTTGTGACAAACTGGCCAGTGGAATGTTTTATTCAGTTTTATCATTCCAATTCATTCGTAAACTAGAGATTAGGCTAAACCGATAATTTGAGTATTTACAATCCTAATTATATTGAAAATAGATGTTAGTTATAGCTACAAGTATTGTGAATAAATTAAAAAAAGTTTTTTTTAACCTTATTGGCAATGCTTAATATTATCTTATATAATAGTATTTTTCATTTTGTACGGATAATTATCTTGTTTACTTATTTATAAATCTTATCGTTTATATCATGTATATCATTTATGTTCGAGATACTAGTAAACAGAAATATCTAATTATATATAGCAATAGGATAATTCTAAATTATCATTAAAATTATTACTAAATTTATTCTTATATTAAAATACGAATCACCCATAAAAAAAAAAGAAATATAAATATAAAAATTATTCTTTGTTTTATTCACCTTTATTCGCAAAAATTTGCAAGAATACTTCGGATATTTAAATTTACAGAAGTCCCCATAGATACACTCTTCGTCGAACATCGATCGACGATATTTTTCGACGATAAGGATCGTGTACGCAGTATCGTTTTATTTGTTCAAGATAAATACATAGATGTACAGAAGAAGTGAATTCATTTTTGTTTTTGTGGAAACTTGTTGAATTTAATATTACATCGTGAATAGCACAGTGCAACAAATGATTGCATTCTTTTTTAAAATTCAATTGAAGATCGAGCATGTAAAATTGAAAATTGATTTTATCGAATTCTAGCACATAGATCGTTTCTTCGAAAAATAAATAAGATATATCGTTTATTTGACGTAGAAGCAATCTAAAATTTCACAGATTAATTACTTTGTTATCGTTATCTAATAACATCTTTGAAAACACATTTATCGCATAACTTTCACGCATAGATTAAATAGAATTGTTTTCAAAGAAATATATTCCTTGTTAGATCAAGATAGATCAACATTCTAGTAACAAATGAATTACTTTGTTCGCGCGCGTACGAGATCTGAGAATATTTTGCGTTATGTATATCTCTGACGAGCGCTTGTACATTAGGGTTTTTCCCTCGGTGTTAATTGTAAACCGCGAGAAGACTATGCAGCTTGGACGTCTGACCAATTCTGATTCATAAGCCGAAGAAAAGCAGGGAAGCTCTCTCGGTTCCTTTTCTATCGACTTTTGGAAATCGTGGGCCCAAAGTGAGGCCCACAAAGGGTGGCTGGTCTTGTCTCCAGTATCTTCGCATATGTTCGGAAAAGCTGATTCCATACTTCAGTCCACGGTCGAGGGCTTTGTCTGACGTAAAACAAAGCTCAGCCGATAGGACAAGAGTTTATGGCAATAATTTATGGGCCTGCTAGGGACTCAAGTCATTCTCAAAGTGCCATTTCCAACGATACGATGATACTTTTGACGATTACCACGATACATGATGATTTAAGTGATCTATCAATTCAATTAAGTCTTAATATTATAAGTTACCAATCTCAATCTTCAATTCTACTATATTAAAACTTCTCATTATGAGATTCAAAAGAAAATATTTGTTTTTTTTTTTGTTAAATTTATAGATTGACTTATTTTAAATAAGACAATAATTTTAATAGATATTATTTGGATAATAAATAACTTCATTGTTAAAATTATTTGTTCCAATAGGTTCGTACAATTCACCGGCAAGGATGGTGGACCCAGGCATCTGGGAGTACAACTTGTCCAAGGAGGTGACATAATCGCCGTTTCTGCCATAGACTCGCGAATTCCTAACTCAATGAAAAAATTCCTCGAAGGTGGCAACGACCTGTTGAAGAAAGCGAAAAGGTAGATGCAATTGAACGACTCGGAATCGCCAAGAAAAAATAATGACAAATCAAAATATTATCACGAGTTATCAGACTTCCATACAAACGATGACGTAAAGAACAGACTTCTTGCAAAACACAGCAATTTATATATAAATCGCAATTTATTTAGGAAAAGTTTATCATCAATCAACAGAATGATTGTGAAATTTTTATATGTTATATAAAGATTAGTTAAAAATCTCTAAAATCACAAATATATGTTTGGAAAATATTTAATAAATTTCCTAGATTATTCAGGATATTTGAAAAAAAGTTGAAAGAAAGGATAGCTGGTAATTTAAGGAAAAAGGATTATGTATATTTTCAATTTTTACCGATTTTAGTAGATACATCTGATCATGAGATTTATATGATTATATTCTGTTCGATTTCATAGTTAATAATTTTGTTTCCAGGGAAGACGATGTGAATTTGTTGACATTGGTAGAAAGGTTCGTGCCATCGAAAGAATTCAGTGTGAAAAAAATTCTCTATACTCCCTTTATATCTTCTTAAATCAAGCTTCCACATATAAAATATTATTAATTATTGTGTCTGTCCTTTTCTTGATATACATTCATTGTTCATACTTACACGTAATTCTCATATCAGATTTATTAATGTTTTATATAAATGTTAATATTTCACATCTATTTTAAGTGTTCATTATCATCGCGAAATGGTAACAATAGTGACTTAAATTGTTTGCAATTCAACGTAGTTGTCAAATATAATTATTGTTACTAATTCAAGCTGGCGATTGTTTGTGTGCCAGTTAGCGAGATTGAAAATTCTGGGTCGGATTAAAACTAGTCGCTTTCACTACCTTTCTGAATGAAACTGCATACTTTTTTACATGTACGTTTATAGTCGTTTCAATGATCAGTTTGACTTGAATTGTAACATTTTATAATCTCTATTAATATTTTTTTTTAATTTTCTTTTTTTTTTTACTTTTATAATTTTTTTACGTCGCGAAAAATACACAATAGAAATAATAATTGTACACTAATTGATTATCTACAACTTGCATTCAATACGTTTCAGTTACGTAATTCAATGACCACGGATATTACATTCGTTACGACATTATCTACTTGTAACTAGTGATTGTAAAAATATTTTATATGACGTTGAGAATACCGCTATGAGAACGTAATTCAGTCATCTATACGTTATTTGTTATCAAGAGTTAGAGTTCTAGTTGCCAATTGGTATTCCTATTTGTTCTTCGTTGCAATCTTTGACTTGTCATAAAATCAGTTTTTACCAGTGAGACGATTGAATAGTTCCTATGTTTCTAATAGACAATAAACTAACCTGAAGAGCTGTTTGACTTTTTTGTTTAATCACATCCTTTGTAGCTATGAAAAAATGTGACTTTGACGTGTCATATTAGCTATACAGAAGTGGAACTGGGCAAAATATTTTTCGACGAATGAATGTCTAATGAAACTTGATGACCTATGTCATTTGCTGGTGAATTTTTATTTTAGTTTCAGAAAAATAATCGATTAATAACGTAATATGATATTGCTATAAGTTTTCACAAAATAGTACTGTTGTTATTATAAACTCGTAGAGTCACATGCGACATCAAATAATCACTAATATTTTCATAGTCTAATACTTTTAAAAATTATATTTTAGAATTAAATATTTGTACAATTACACTTAAAGATTATAATAAATATTAACAATTGAATAATTTAATTTTTTAAAGAAAAAAGAAGAAAGATTTTAAATAGAGAGACTAAAGATATAATGTAAACTTATACTTCCATAAAATAAATTAAAAGTAATTAAGATACAACCCAGTTCTGCCATTTAAAATGATTCTCGAATGTATTTTCATTCTAAATGTTAATTGAACTATTGTAGAATAGTGGCAGAAGGACGCAGCGTGATACCGGAAACAGATGTGACTTTCTTGGCGCCGGTCACAAAGATGGATAAATTGGCGTGCGTTGGTCTTAACTACAGTGGCCACTGCAAAGAACAAGGAGTATCGCCTCCAGAAAGCCCTGTAATCTTTAGCAAATTCCCCAGCAACATCATTGGACCGCGCGACAATATCATGCTTCCATCGATCTCGGATGTAAGTTCAAGAACATTGTTGAGGAAAAGCATCGCCTATTTTTCGTCGCGTAGCCATGACCGTCTCTACATTTAGTCGATGCAATTATGTAACAACTTCCGAGCTAATTATAGAACAATTCGTATGAAAAAAGAAAGGATCAACTTATCGATCGATCAAACATTATTTTATCAGTTATCTGCTTTACTGATCGCAAAAAAATATAATTTAAACGTCAAATATATATTAAAATTAAGAACAGTGATTGATGCACTACGAATCTTTATACAAATTCATATTTTTGAGAATATATTTGAAAAATAGAATCTTGAACAGAAAGTACTATACCTTGAAGATTTATTTTTTTTTTTTTTTCTTTTTATGTTGGATACACTCTGTGCAATTTTGCACTTTAGAATCTCTTGAAAATGAATAAAAATCCGCAGTCTTTAGTGATCGATAGGGATATGATTGGTGATTACGTAATCAGTGAAAAGAAAACTATATACTACGTAATCAGAAAACTATCAGTACTAACTGGAGAAAAGATACCGGTTCTTATCGAATCGACGTGAACTACTTAATCCTTACTCTTGTCGAATTGACGTAAACTACTTAATCCTTACTCTTATCGAATCGACGTGAACTACTTAATCCTTACTCTATGAACATTTTAGAATTAGGATTAAGAGGATCTATTTATGTCTGACTCATTCTCACAGCGCAAAAAGAACTTTGAAAAAATCTAAAAAAATTTATTTCACACCTTCTAAATTGAGATTAGAATAAAAAACTTAAACAATAATTTGTTTATGTATACAAACATATTATTTACATAACAATGTTTAATATCCACTTTTTTTTATTATTATTATTTTAGAAAGTCGACTGGGAGGCCGAGCTCGCGATAGTAATCGGCAAAAAGTGCAAGGCATTGGACAAAAATGAGGTAGAAGACTGCATTTTTGGTTACACAATAGCACAGGACATCACAGCTCGAGATTGGCAAAAGTCGAAAAGAAACGGTGGTCAGTTTCTACTCGGCAAAGCTATGGACACATTCTGTCCACTGGGACCAGCTATTGTCACCAAAGAAGCCATTTGTGACATCAATAATCTTCCAGTGCGAACGTGGGTGAATGGTAATCTTAAGCAAGATGGGAACACTTCTGAGCTGATATTTAAACCATACGATATCGTCGCATATATTTCACAGTATGTACCAATCGAGACTTTTACTATTATTCATGTAATATTGTATTTTTATCATTCGAGGCCAATTAACTTTATTGTTTCATCGAATGTTCGCGTTTCTTTCAAGAAACCTATTATGTAAATGTGTCTTTCAGATTTATGACGCTGTTACCAGGAGACGTAATTCTAACAGGCACGCCAGCTGGTGTGGGTTTCACCCGCAAACCGCCTGAATATCTACAGGTATTGATTAAAAATTCTTTCAAAATATTGAATTTTTAATTATGGATATATTTTTATCAACTTTTTCTTTTAAGCGTAAAAGTAATATTAAAACTAAATATGATATTAGACTATAGATGTTTGTGCAATTTTATATTTTTACGAATATATAGATAAAGAAACGGGGCCTGAGTAAAAATTTGGTTCGTTTATAAAATATTATAAGTGATATTTTATATATTCATTTTGTAAATTTTTGACGTCTTAAGTTTCCCAAAAATGCATGAACATCCATAATCTAATGATATTAAATCCTTACTAATTTTTACATCTCATACGTGATTGATACCTGAACTTTCGCGAAATTTTTCATTGACAATTGCCATATTTAAAGGATTAACTAAATCTGAATTTGTACGAACTTTATAACTTTTATAATTTTATTATTGTGTTTTACATATAGCGTGGAGACGTTTTAGAAACGGAAATAGAGGGTCTAGGTCGCATGAGGAACAAAGTTCTCTGATCTGGCGAGTGGAGCATGCTCCACGTAGAAAACGTACGAACAGAAATATAATTTATCCGGAGAAAAACCGAACGTACGTTATAAAAATGGAACCAACATCAAAGCGCCACGATCAAATCACAATCAATTCTAAACTTATACAACGCACGATAACACGAAAAGGAAATGGATATGATATGAAACACACAAAAAAAATGCAACATTCTCAATTTAATAAATGATGATAGTAATTAAGAAAGAAGAGTTCGGAATATCGAACACTTCTTTTTGTTTTAAAGAATTGGAGCCTAAGCATATGCATTCATACAATGTCGCACTTATCATCATGCACCTATATTACGTATTTATACGATTAAAGCGAGACCATTTTTAAAAATACAAATTTCTCTGAGTGTCTTTTTTTTTACGAATCAATTGTTTTTTATCAACCTTTACAAATTTCTATTAAAATATTTTTTGATGAATTCGTCCGAGTGATTCCCTTGAAATTTTTTATGACCATCTTACATAATATTAACACTAAAAACCTATTTCCCGTGTCCCGATTAAAAAATTGCAATAACAGACTTGGCATCTTATAAGACTTTGTGTCCTGCATTTTGAAATATTTAATGTTTAAAATAATAATAATAATGTTAAGGAAATACTTTTATTGACATTCTTTTGCAATATTTTCTAATATAAAATATTTCCGAAGATTTAAAAAAATATTATTTTGTTATATGAAATTTATTTTATAGTTTATTAGGTTTTATATACGATTTACTTGAAAGGTAATGACATACATATATGAATGTTATGCTATATTTTAATTTATTTCGTAATTTTTAAATAAAATTTATATTTCATTCATTCTCATAATACTTCCTATTTTCTGTAAAAATCAGTTGCGAATTTTAAAGTAAAATTCATAAAAAAGATTCATGTTTCATAGGCTACAATTTACAAAAATATATTTTTAAATATAATGTTTTGCAAAAAATTACAAATTATTTAAACAAATGTTGCTCCAATCTATATAAATCTATTTCTAATCTTCAATTAATCTATCGAATAGAACTTGCAAACATATACATTTTATAGATGAAATAGAATCTAAAAAGAAAATTAGATTGGTGTAATTAAAAGCACGTAATTATAAAAATTCATAATTCTTTTTTTTTTTAAAGATAAAAATTGAGCCGTTTATGGACGCTACCGTCACATAGCGGTGAACATTGAAACTAATTTTATTGCTGTCCTTGTTATACTATTGCTTTGTAATGAGACATATATATGTCTGTCGCATATTCTCCTCTTTTCTTTACTGTTTAAACAGTTTAAATTAAGCTAAGCAACATGACGCCATAACATGCTGCTCTACACAAAAATGTAAGTATTAAATATACAAGGAAAAACTTCGTGACAAATTGATTTTAGAATCAAAGCAATACGTTTAGAATATTAACTTTATGCTTTTCAAAGTATGCTAAAGAGATCACCTAAAATTGTTAGCATTAATATTTAGAATCAATTATGGAGCATACTTCTTGATTCATTTCATTGACAATTTTTTTCAGTGTTAAAATTTTAATAACTTGTTACATTAGCAAAATAGAGTAACAGACTCGCCTGTTTAAATTAATTATTACCAGACTGCGGATTTATTTATGGGAAATTTTAAAATACAAAATTGCATAAAATGCACATAATATGAAAAAATACATAAAATATCCAAAGTATCTCTCTATATATATCGTTCAATACAATATTTTATCAAGGTTCCTTTTCTTTATATATTCTCAAAAATATAAATTTTCATAAAAATCCACATTCTAATTATATTATATTGAATCTTTTTCGTGAATATTTATTTTGTTTATTACAACACTATATTTTATTTATTACAAATTTGTTTATTTGTTTATTTTAATTTCAGATTTTAATAACTTGAAACGTAACAATGTAATATTAATATGATAGTATAAAATATTAAAATTGGAATCAAAATATGTTTGATTAAAAGTAAAATGTATAATTACATATAGTTTTATTATATTTAGTAGTCAAAGTTAAATAATTATATAAAGTATATATTTTTCGCATCTGATATCAGAAATATAGAAAATCTTTTTTATACATATGTAGAATGAAATAATAATTATTTTTTAAATTTGAATCATTTTGAATTGTTCGTTATTTTATTACTAATTTTACATTGGCTTATTGGCGCTGTCATTCTCCATCCTGAATTGGTAATATAGCATGTGATACTAAAGGTAAGATAGACCTGACATACAAACGAGTTTGAAATGCGCGCGCTATAATTCTTACTTTAGTAAAGATTGCAGCGCCAATGAAGCACCAATGAAATTTCGCAATTACGTGTCGCAATTTTCAAACATAATCGATGTTTCTTGCAATCGATTTAATCGATTCAGTATTGAGATGTAACGTAAAACCATCAGTTTTAGGCGGGAGCATGACAAGAAAGACAGGACAAAGCTGCTTATCCAGAAATTATCAAGAAATTATTTTAAAAAACTACCGGTAAGACTGGTTTTTGTATAAAAGCGTCATTTAAAAGAGTAATTACAGATATGTATTCGATCCTGACTGTGATTTGTTACAGGCATTTCCTATCAGATTTAATGGTTTCTACTTGTTAGTGATATTTGCAATTATTTCATCTTTGCCACAGTTACGTATTATATGTCGTTCTTTTCATCTAAGTGTAAGTCGCATGTATTTTTATTTCTCTAGACATTTAATTGTGACTACTCAAATTATCATGAATTAAGATATAATACATTATATATTAGGAGATATATTATTACTGTATATTATAAGTTCATACATATATTAATTTAAATGAATAATAAAATAATTTCGTCTAATATAAAGATGAATTAATGAAAAATGATGCACCCTTTATGTGCATTATGAATCGAATTACTCTTTTATAATATGAGAAATTCTTTTGAAAGCTAAATTAATATTTGGACAATAATGTATGGATAAAATAATCCTGGAACAATTTAAGTTAATAAAAATATTCCTAACATTGAGCTAAAATTTCATATATAATTAATATTGATTAATATGTATGTATATAATAAATATAATATTAATATTATAATATTTTCTAAAGAATTTCTCCTGAATTTTAGAAATCTGTGCAATTAATGTGCTTAATATTTAAGTTCTAGAAAATAATCATATACGTATGTGAGTTTTAATACACACAAATATATATATATATATATATATATGTGTGTGTGTGTGTGTATTTTATTATATGCTCATATTATAACATTATAGAAAATACAAGTTTATTGATTCTTTAACTTTGCAATACGCAATCTTCAACTATTCTAAATACTAAATTCAACAATAGTTTATTAAGAATGTACGTATTTAATAGTTGAAATAATAATTCTACTGCGTGATATAATAAAAGTTTTCATTTCTCAAAGTGAGACGTAGAAGGCCTTGAGGCTCGAAATCCGAAGTTCAAACCACAGAAACACGAACACAATGTTTATATTCATCTTATCGTGCCTGTTCGAACAGGACTACCCCATCCCCTACTACTTTTTCAATTGAAGGACGAGACGTATTGCGGAGAGTCATTCGGTCTTCGAGTTTCGTGACAACAATACATATTACGTCGCATTAGATTCGTAACTTTCTCCAAGCAATCGGTGGCGTCTCTTCGCTGGCGTCGCTTCTTCGACTCTATTACTTCGATTTATACCTTATTAATAGTGTTATTTAATTAATATGTGTATGTTTAACGATTCATTGAGCATTACGGTAACGAAATCGAGTCGTTCTTTGAAACTTTTCGCGTCAATTTTTCTTCAATCGTAGATTTTACTCATACGGTTACCGACACATCATCTCGTACGTCTTTTTAATAGAATTTGAAGTTGATTATCCTTTTATACATTTGCCGTCGTTTGACATGTTTGTTCTAACTTTTGATTTCTTTTTTGTGCAGGTTATATCAAAGATAGCATGGACGTCACGATTAAGAATGGACAATTTGATGAAGTTTTATGGAAATTTGGTAACATTTTATTCATTCTGGGTATCATATGGTACATAATTCATACTTGAGATACAATTCACAATACGTAATTTTGTAATTATTTAGGATACAAAGATGAAAATAGAAAAGATTAATTCAATTAATATTTTATCTCGAATATAGACCAGCTTAATGGTATATATACACTTTCAAATGGATATATATTCTTGTATTAGATTATCAAATCCAGTTTTCGTACTTTACTATATGTACTGTATTATACTGTACTTGCTTTTGAATGTTGACACGCAATTTTATAATCATGTTCTAGAAAAATAGTAGTATTTTCTAAATAAACGTATCCTTCGCTCTCCTAATTCTCCTCCTTCTACTAATCAGCTTTATTTTCAGAAAATTTTTGTGATCGCGCGCAATGCGGTCGGTAGAGTCAGTGTTTTGCGCAGTATTTTAATATTTTTCAAAGTGGCTCTTATATAATTAGATTATTAATCATCTAAATTATAATTCGCGAAGTTAGAGTCAGTGTATCCACCGATTGTTACTAAAACGCTTGCGTTGATAGTCTTTTATTTTTCTTTTTTTTGAATTTTTTCTTGTTCAGTATTCGCTTTCGGTATTAGAGTTAGTGCTCAAGAGGATATGACCTCCCCAGGAAATCAAGATCGTAAATAATTTTATATAGTATTTTA